TGATTTGGAGGAAGTAATAATCAAAACTAACTCAGAAACATAAACTGGAGCGAAGGAGTCTAACTAAATATCCAACCCAGTGTCATGGAAATACAGGGGGAGCTAATATATTTAAATCCACAAAGTCGATGGTGAGCAAAAACCTTATAAAGTGCATTCCAGGGTCCTTAATAGCCAGAAACAATGAAGCTAGTCTCCTAGTATGTATTTGCATGTAAATGTGTTAATAATGTCTGTTTAAATGCTTTCCCGTGATTATGATGATCTCCCTCTGCTGTTCCTGCAGCTAACTGCAACTCCTGCATGTGTGTATACATCACGTTTTGGAGAAGAAAAGCATGACTGGACACGGTGGACCGGCGTGTCTATTCAACGCTTTGCTTGTTATCAATTCTACTAAAAGCAGCTGTGCATAATGCTACGGTTATGGATGTTTTTATCTAATGATTAAAACTTTAAGTATGAAAAGTTCATGAAGTCTAGTTCAGGTTAAAGGAATGTTTGGCAGTTCAGACTTTTGGTCAGCCTGGCCACAGTGCTGAGGAGACGCCTAGGGTTGATCTTTTTCTTAAAGTGATGAAGAGTAAGATGGTTTATGAAGGGTATTTTTTCTAAATATCTAAACATCTGCTGTGATGTATTCCCCCCAAAACTGTAAATGTTATCAGGAAATAATCACACAAAAGAGGAAACACTGTTAAATGTTTATTTTCTATCCTTTATGTCAAAACAAGGTCCAGAGTGAGATTAAAGTGGTGGGTGGGTTCTTTTGTACTTTGAAGAAGTCTAATATTGAGCCTATATAACTGAGTCTAATAATTACTGCAGAGTATTGGGGTCCCATTAAGAAAAAAATATCACTGATCTTTTTGAGATTAAAGGTGGAATTCAATTTCAAGATAAAAGTTAAAAAGTGGAGATTGCCACTGCTGCTATACAATCTACAAAATGCCTTGGGCAGATGAGTTACTGTCTTACTGTTACCTGGTATCTTTCTAGGAGATAAGGATAGTGTGGTGATAAGTATAAAGATGTTGAAAGGGTGTTGCAAAAAGGAGAATCTGATAAGAAAAAAAAAACACATTTGGAAGAGTTGGGTGGATTTTCCAAGAGTCAGTAAAGCCCACGCAGGTTTTTGGACACCACTCAGACACCAATTGAAGGAGAACCTGCAGCTAAACATGTCACTCGTTGGGGAGGAGACCACAGAAAA